TTAGGTCTTGTGTCTAATCGATTTTTCCTTTCCCTTTAATCGATTAGTTCACACAGACCCTTCTAATCGATTAATCCCTTTAATTTAATCGATTTTCCTTCAGCTGCATTGATCGTTGCTGATGATGCATTAATCGATTATTGGTGATGCATTAATCGATTATTATGCTGCATCTTTTCTGCACAGCTTCTTTTCTTGGACCAACGGATATATTTCTTCACCTCCTATTTAAGCATCCTTACTTGGTCATTTTTCATAACAAGAAACACTCCAATACTCCCCATTCTTGAGGTGTTAATCCTCCATCAATCCTTCCTCAAATTTATAGAGAAAATTATATTTTCAAGAGAGGTTTCTTGTCACCCATTAGAGCTTTAATCATTTCTCATTTCTACTCTTTTGAGAGCTATTGTTGAGAGGTTGAAGAAGATTTTTCTTCTTGTTGTTCAAGACTTATGGGACTTAAGTCTTGGTTGTGAAGTCTTGTAGAGGGCATATCTACGAGCGGTTGTGTCGAGGCTTGTGGGATTCAAGTTCCCGAGTTGTAAACGGTTTCTTAAGCACCCGTAGGCTTAACGGAAGTAGTGGTAGCTTCGAGAGAGTCTCTCGGGGAACTGGACTAGCCACGAGGTGGTGAACCAGTATAGATCGGTGTGTTCTTTGCCTTCTCTATTTTATTTCCGCTGCACTTTCGTTTATCTTATTTAATCCTGCGAAAATCGGTAAACATTCTCAACAACTCTATTCACCCCCCCCCCCCCTCTAGAGTTGCACGCCTTGTCTAACAGTGTTTGGGTCTGCTTTTCTCATCAATTCACTTCACAATATTCATATTATCATTGCATCCAAACAACATTATTTTCCATAGCTTTCTAGAGCCAATTTGTGAAGTTTGAGTTGTTATTGAGCGTATATAGTTTACTCAACATCTACTCTTAAAGAGAGTCTTGTTCTTGAGTGTTCTTAGTGTTGTAAACACGTTTAGGGAAGCTTGTTTCCCTTGGTTGTACGAAGGAAAGGTATTTTCCTTCGGGTTGAAGTCTTGGAGTGCGGTATCTCCGAGCAAGTGTATTGAGGCTCGTGGGACTCGAGTTC